ATGATGACTCATCGATCTGATCACTCCAAGCACGTAACCCTTGTGGAACTGACGGGAATTCTCGGCCCCAAGCCATCAGGTACAAATAGCATTGACGACGGTGAATGAATCCGAGATCAAAGGGTAAAATGTACCCTGATACATTCGTTGATTAATTACCCACATGAGGTTTGGAGGATAACCGAAAGTAATTTAGATATTTTTACTAACGTAGTACTTTCTTTAAAGGACTATTTTCATAATTTTAGCGTAGGAAACTATTTCAAAACCGAAAATAGCATACATGGAATGCATGGAAAAGTGGAACTTTAACAATTCGTGCTATATTCTCATAATAGTTTGAACAGTTTGAATTGAAAAAAAGTTGATTACTTTCTTATGATATAATGAATGCTTGAAATATATTCTCCTTTTAATCTCAAATACGATTATATTGCTCATCATGCACGGTCGTAGACGCGCGTGCAACTGAAAATGGTGAGATTTTCACTCGCGTTTTAGTTTTCTTCGCTATCGCCGGGACAAAAAAATCTTTATTAAATAAAATGATGGACGAAAAAATAATTAATATGATAGGCCAAAGCATTTATGCACAACTGAAATAAATACATGAGAAGATTAACTCCGCGAGACAATGTGTTCGCAACCTGTCGAAGTCCAGCTCTCAGTGTGAACGTATATCGTGTTGGAGGGTCCACGTTGTTATGTGTCATGGTCATGACAATATTTATCCGTACTTTTATTTCGAAGGAAGCTGCGCGACTTTAGATAAAATGGATTACCAAAGATTGCTTTTTGTGAAAGTCTCCGTTAAGTTGCACATGGGTTTGTCGGACTAACGGGCGTCTTTCATGGCATTTATTAAAATACCGGAAAAATCGTAATTACATACAATAACGATCACTATTATAGGCAATGAGAAATTTTCTGTACTTTATTTACTCAGCAGTTGTCCCTCGCTGCTTTAATGGAAATTTCGAATTACATCACGCAGTCTGATAATAGGATGAGAAGCGTAAATTTGACAAGCGAAATGTGATCTTGATCGTTTACTTCTCTGTATAAATCCTCCTAATTTGAAAAGTTTTAATCATAAACGATTCTCTCGATAAAGTTAATTACCAGTTCCAAGTGAAGGTTCCAAGAAAAGAGCCAAATTTTATAGAAATTGAAAAATTACCAAAATTTACATTCAATTTAATTTTGAAGGGACTTCCAAGATGACAGAAGAAGTGTTGCAAAGAAGACGTATTTTATTTATTAATTTGCCATCCATGTAAATGAAACGGGCAAGCCACCAATGAAAAATAGCATGAAAACGACAGTTGAAGGAGAAAGAATCAATCAAATGCATATAACTAGGACGGAAAGAGAATTAGCTACCAAACCAATATTAAATATTAATCGAATACGACTAGCACCCGAATAATTTATTATAAAAATGAAATCTGACTTCTTCATTTAATACGGACATTATTCTCTGAATCTCGAACATTTCTGACCGTCGGGCATAAGTTTGATTGGATCATAAAGACTTTAGCAAAAAGAGATGAGATCCTGCCAGCTCGAGACAGCATCACCCGACGCCTGGTGAGGTTGTGATGTGAAGATCAAAATCGTTCCAGCAAACGCAAATTCTTGCTAAAAAGATTCTTATTTGCAAGAGTTCGTCCAGCTCTTGATTGTCAATCCACCGAATTCTGAATTTCAATCAGGAAATGATATGAATTAATTTGAACTTTTTTGGTTATTTACAAAGTGAAATAATGAACAAAATTTGCAGCTCAAAAATAGAAGTAAAGACGCATAGTGGCATTGAGTATCATTGAAAAGTTTAATGAGACATCGGATACTATTTATTTATTATAATTTACTAGTTCGGACGGCAAAAACGCCACGAAGATTTACGAGGCAAAGGTTAAGTACCAATTTGTTTGAAGCAAACATTTAAAATTGCATCGATAAGCAATACTCACTAGTTTATATTTTCAGTTGTAATGTAATTTGCACCGATACGAGTTAAACTTGCGAGTTCATAGTGGATTTTTCATTGGCTTCAATACTTCGGCCACGAAACATATCAACGTGTATTTATAGAGATTAATTCAATGGGAGTTCATCATCAGAAGTTTGGTCGCAATGTTCCGTGTTTGGTCGCTGTGTTTCACAGTAATGATGCTATGCCTTCAGGCAATAGTAATTCAAATGTTCTGCACCAGTCCCGTAGACTAAGAAGACACAATTTGTCACAACCGGCCTACATTTTTTAAATCACAGCAGGAATCATAGACAGTCATTTACACATCATGGAATTACAATGATTTATTGACTTTTATGAAATAATTCAAAATTTTCACTAAATGTTCCTTTATATTGATGGAAACTAAATTTTTTTAGCCTAATTGCTAAAATTAAACCGTTACTCAATTAATGAATTATTAATTCATTACCATATTCCTGGAAAATATAAGGAAAGTGAGTTAAAAATACGTTTATTCCAACATTTTATTAGGAAATTCCAACTGAAAATATGATAACAGATGATTAAGTACGTGCGATGATGCCTACAGAGGCTGAAAACAATAAGCCTCAGCTTTATTATACAAGTACACAGATGAAAAACGAACGTCTTTTTAGAGCCACGTGCTATAACCTAAGGTCAATATATATATATATATGTATATATATATTAATATTCTTACTGTGCAAACGAGCTTCGTCATAACATTGTTTTCACAGAAACAAGACATGTCAAAACACTTTTTACTAAGCTTAATTAATAACAATGAGTCGACGATGTAAAAAACTAACTGCTTATACTCAAGAAAAAAAAACCCCGAACACTAGCATATTAGCATTTTCAAGTCACCTGTCTCTCCAGTAGACGCATACAATTTACACAACGTCTTCGTTCTGTCTATGCACAAGACGTCAGACATTTTACTGCTACTGTAATTCACAGCACAACCCACGGACCTGTACACATTTTCCAGCATGGGTAGAGGAAGCGAAGCTCGACAAGGTCACATTTACAACCTTAATGAAGAGACAATTGAACTTAACACTCATAGTGCTTTTTTAAAATTTCAGGATTTATTTTAATCCAGCTTCATCTATTTAAGTAAATAACACAGACAAAGAAAATATTAAGAAGGAAATTAATGACAAGAGTAAGGGCTAAAATCGATCCAAGAGAGCATTAGACTGAAGCTGCAAGAAGACTTGCCGGTGACATGAGTGATGCCGAATGAGTGAGCTATGAGTATTTTTATAATTTCAACCTTTGGGAAATGCAAATTTTATCTTAATGAAGCACAAAATATTTCAAAACCACTATACCATTCAACCTTTAAAACAAACAAATTCATCCCATATAACATGAACGTGAGGGTGAGATTCAGATCAACTCGTGATCGCGGTAGTCAAGAATGGGACTAAAATAGCTGCAAGCAAAAAAAAAAAAAAAAACTTTCAATAGCTGACATCACCTTCACCGGCAAAATGAATTGCGTAACCTCTTCAATGTAATTAATTCGGCATTTGCTGACTGTCGGAATTGAGATCTCAGACTATACATTAGAGACCATATGCTTCTAGATGCGTGACATCATTGGACCATAACAAACCATAATCATGAGACACCCAGGAGCCATGTCAAAGGTACAAAACTACTATCACTCGATAGATAAATTGACACGGCCTCGACGAATTGTAAAGATTCGTATACGTAATGCTGACGCGAAACCCAAACGTTCTACTATACCTACAAGTAACTTATGTATATATTACAGTGCTTTCTTTTTACATTCTTTGTATACGAACATTCAGATCAAACAATACAATCATGAACGCATGTCAACCTCACACTTCGAATGTCGGACGATGCATATTCTAGAAAATGCTTTTCAGTTTGAAATGAAGTTATGACAACAATGTAACACGACTTCGTTTTATATAAATGGATCAAATAATATGATCCGTTCTTATTAAACGGTTCATCTTCTAATACAGTATGAACTTTATATAGGAATTGATTAATTGACCACCAGATTTTGAACTTAAAAATTTTTCACTGGGAGTGGGTCGCGAAAAAGGTAAAAAATGTTAATTCGGGACTAACTGACGAAATATGAATTGAATAGAATTTGGGGTATTTTCCAACTCTGTTACGCGTTAACTGCCACAGCCAGTTATTCATCAAAAATTCAGAATTAATATTTTTTGACTTTAGGTGTGTTCCAGCCTTGTTCACAATTTAAAATTAGTAGTCGATACGTCCGCCGATTTTCACAACCGTTGCCACAACAGAACATTCACTTCAGAAACGAAAAAAAGACATAAATAAACACACCAAATTGGCCTGCAAAGCATAACCAGCACAAAGGTCCTTTTTCAAATAGCAATGAAGCTTTGAACCGATCCGAGATTGAATCTCAATTCATTTATACGAGTGAATAAACAACATTACCAACAGAGCCTTACACCAATACTCTATAAACGAGAGTGATAGTTCATAAGCGAGTTCACCCACTGTACACACTACATACTATAGCATAGAACGGCGAGTCCTGTACAGCTCGAGAGTGTGATCTAAGTACTAAATTATCACGTCACAGAATAGTTCCTTTAAAGAAAAAAAAAACGTTTTACGTTAGGATAAATTTCTTTAGAAGCAATGCATCATTGTAAAAATCGTACTAGCGTGCTTCCAATTAATCGATGAAGTGAAAATCCATAGCTAATTAATTCTATTTTTGAACGAATTCACTCTTGTCATCAAAATATGAATTCATCGTGCTGCTAGATTATCATGCCTTTCTTACACTGATCTGAGCAATAAAAAAAATGAACTACACTCACATGTTAACAGTCAGAGATGTGAGACTTACATTTTACTTTAGAGTTGGTAATAAATTACTTACTCATCGTATACAGTATCGGATGGAACTTTGTCCGGCTATTGGATCACATTTATATTAAAATCATGGTTAAGTAGTGAAAACCATTCCGCTGAAAGAATGCAAGAAAAACTGAACTCTCACACGAAGCTATAAGCTAGAATTTTCTTTCTAGAAGAAGAAGATAAATTTCGAGCCAACTACCTGAATTTTGTTCCATACATTACGTTACAAAACAAAACATAAACGGTAATAAAGGAAACGTTGAAGCCAACATTTTCCAAGTGCAAGTTCTTGTCGTTTTCCAGAGAGAAAAACGACAAAACCGTTTAAGGACCTGATGTAATATGCTCGTATCTCTAATAATTACAGAGAAAAGGGATTTTAAATCGTATTCCTAATATTTTGATTTGCAAACAGATGATCCATTACAACCATCTGTAAAATAAAAAAAATCGCTTCGAATGCATTTATGAAAAACTTGACCGAGATATCCCAAGCTTGGACGTTGGGGCATATAGGTACTCGTGACCTGAGATAACATGCATACGACCTCACTTCAGAAGCTGATGGCATAAAGAGAAATTCCTTCAATGGTAGTAAGCATAACAACCAAGTCCACTTAATTCGCTGAAATACAATTGCGAGGCTAACTCAGTAAACGCAGAGGCTTTTCATTGGTTCTTTTAAAATCAAATAAGTTAGCTGAACACCAAACCATATCAACGGTTTGGCAGTGCTAGTTCTTTATAACACCAAAAGAAAATGAATGAGCTTCCACAACTGGGAAATTATTATGCGAGAAAGCAATTACTCAAAAAATATTTATCAACAAATCTTTCAGATCCCTAAATTAAGACATGTTTACCCTGTATGAAATAAATCCTATGCACTCGATATTCAAACAAATCAAGTACGTACACCACCATAGTTCATCAAAAATAAGTACATCGTTCATGTAAACTGAGGCTTATCATTAGAAACTATCTACAAAATAAAGATGGTGAGAACATTTCGTAGCTCCTTCAGATAAGAAGGATCACCTAAAATATAACATGCATAGGAGGTACAATACACAAAAGCGAATCGCTACACATTACTGCGCTAAGCCCTTATCCTTGAGCAAAATATTGGAGGAGCTCATTGCCGGCTGATGGGCAGAATAATTGCGGATTTGGTCCAGCGATATTAGATGGTTGGGGAAATGGTTGGGCTTGACGTCCATTGGGGGCATCTGGGTATGAGGCTTGGGGAACGGGAGGGTGTCGTAAGGAAAATACCTTTGTGAGGAAGAAGCGGCCATGGACAGCTGAGTGGAACCTCCTATGGGAATCATAGTGGACTGGATTGGTGTAAAAGCAGACGAAGTCTTGGTACCTATAGCATCATAGGGCATATTCACAACGCCCATGTGAGCAGGAGTGTGGGTCTGAGCTCGAAGATCTTCCATCCGATGTTGCTGCTGTTCCATTTGTTCACGGTGCACAGATGCAGTCATTTGGCGGTTGGGATCAATATTGTTCTGTTGACATTGTTCAGCCGTCATGCGGCCGTCCATGTGGTCGAGGGCTGTGTTTTCGTGCTTGGGCCAGTACGAATGTTCCTGTCGGATGGGCGCCCCGCCAGGGTTTGTAAGAGGGGGCCGTTTGTCGGTACGCTCAGCATGCTTTTGCATGTGCTTCTGCAAATAAGTTTCTTGAGTGTAACTTTTGCCGCAGTATTGGCAAATGTGCGTTTTGAGGTGTTTGCTCTCCTTGTGCTTGGGGATGTGCTCCAAAAGAGACGCCTCGTCAATGAAGCACTTGTAGCACGAGTTACACTTGTACGGCTTGTCGGTTTGATGGCACCGCGAGTGGCTCTGTAGGTTCGATAGTTGACTGAAGGCTTTATTGCAGCCTGGATGACGGCATTTGTAGGGCTTGTCTCCTGTATGAGTGCGTATGTGCTGCTGTAGGTGGGACAGTTGGGTAAACTTACGTTGACAAATATCACAGCGGTAAGGTTTGATGCCAAGATGGATACGCGTGTGCTGCGAGAGGTATGAACTGTTGGCAAACGCCTTGGGGCATTGGGAGCACTTGTAAGGCTTTGCTTCTCTCATGTGGATTTGAGTGTGCAGCTGCAGATCAGCCTTGCTTCCGAATATCTGAGAAAGAAGAGAAACGCTGGTTAGAGTACGGCGACATTCTGAACATAATTGCATGAAAAATATAAAATATAAGTGCAATGAGACTCATCAATGAGAATCCAGTAAGGTTTCAAATTTTTAGAAGATCATGTTTGAAGAGCATGATCTCCTAATAAGTAATTCAATCATAATTATTACCATAAAAGTTTTCATGTTGTAGTAAGTATTAAAATCCATTACAAAATTATTCACTAATAACTCCTGCCACTTGTTTAGGGTATTTCAGTAAGCTTAAATTTTCTCATAAAAATGAGCACCGTAACCGCATCAGGGATTGAGGCAATCAACTGGCATTTATACCTTCATTTATACCCGTCACTAGAGCGTTCGTTCAGGCAACTTCGCTCTCGTTGGTACGTATAAAACGGAGCACTCTTTTAGCCGCAAGCCTCTTCGTCGCGTTTAGGGTACCCACCGAAGACTCGGAGAACTGACCAGCGTGATCAAATGTCCCTTCCATTACGCAATTACTCGATGCCGTGTGAATGGCATGCTAGTAATCAGTCGCACCCTCGACAGTGATCAGCAGTGGCCTGCTCTCAGCCTACCTTTACCTAATCATCGCTGATGCCACATATTTGCCTCAATTCAACGAGAATAAATCATTTGAAAATCAAGAGGTGTACCGAGGCCAGATAGCGTTTGCCGGGAAATAGTGCCGTATCTGAAGAGCCAACAATCAATCTTAACACACGGTCTCCAGACGCAATCTTACATAAGCGGTAGGTATCTAAGCATGATAAATCAGAATATTTGCATCGCAGTCATGTGAAGATTTGTTTATCGCAAGCCAAACAAATCCATCAGGGAAAAAATTATATGCTGCCAGTTGGACAAACGGGCGAGAGCAGAAAAATATTAAGATTTTAATATTACGAAGATTGTGTTCATATTCCATGAGTTCTTCGGACTCGGGAATACGAGCATCGAAGCCACTACTGTAAAAACGCTAATAACTACCAGCAACTAACCGGTGTGAGCACCATCACCAGATACCGACGACCTCATGCACGAGATACCAACAAGGGCAATCACTGATACTGAAAAACGGTAATCATCGTTCACTGACGAGTGACGACTGCAACCACCAGATACCGACGACCGCAGTCACAAGATACAGACAAACGGCAATCACCAGATACCGACGTCCACAGTTACTAGTTACAGACAAACGGCAATCACCAGATACCGACGTCCAGTTACTAGTTACCGACGATCGTAATCACCAGATACAGACGACGACGATCACAAGATACCGACGTCCAGTTACTAGTTACAGACGATCGTAATCACCAGATAACAACAACCGCAATCACCAGATACAGACGACGACGATCACGCCGTAAAGATAAGTCGACAATCACACGATCAAGAGTAGGTAGGGTAGGCCTTTAGAGGCGGCGGCTGGAGGCCGGTCAGGTTCCGCGTTACGCCGTGAAGTCTACCAACAAAAGACGCCAGGCAGAAGCGACGTCGCAAGCACTTCCCACCGACTAAAGGGTGGTCATCTATCATAAAAACTGCTCCATCCTTCCTCTTATTTAAATTCTCAATTAAAGAGTAAATGAAAGTCACCCTTCCTGGTAGATTAGGATAGATGCTGAGGTTGTTTTTATTCACAATAAAAAAAAATAAAAATATACACCTCCGGAGAACGAAAATACAGAACTTGTGGGCCGAGAGACGGAAGCTTAACCTAATTCAGTTAGAAGCTCAAATCGAAAATTAAAATACCGAGCAGAATATAGACGAGAAATAATTATTTACAGTCGATTTATTGGCGTACTAGCGGGCCGTTGAAACTGAAGGACAATTATGCGTGGGCTCCTCATTATTATAGGCGCAGTGCGCCAGGATTCCTTGTTGCCTTTGCAGGCCACATCTTCACGCTCGAATTTCTTCTCTAATGGAGTGTCAGTTTTCTCACGTCTGCGATATTAGGCTTTTAATGAACAATGGGCAAAGGGTGGCCGCCGTCTCCGGGGCCATTAAACGGTCCATCAGTAAACCTATCAGGCAAAAAGCGTAATAATCCACAATGTGCTAGAGAATTGCTCTCACGATCAACGGCGCTTCTGTATTGAACAAATGTTGATGAGTAGAAAAAATGTTGGTCGTTTCGAGGATGTCATGAAAATTCGAGTAGGCTGTTTTCAATAGATTTCAAGATAGTTTTATAAACTCCTTTAAATAGTTCAAAATTAAATTTAACGAGTTCGGGTAATTTAAAAAAAAAATAACGTGATTTAATGACAATGTTCAAATGTGAAGTGAATCCTTCACGTGCCATGCAAGCGTTGAAACATGAAAGTGATAACAGCGGAACGAAACCTATGTAAGACAACACGGCCCTAAACATCTTATTAAGTTTAGATGACTAGTGGTTTTGGTCTACTTCAATTAAATTAAGTAATCATGACAACATACGTGAAACGACAATCATGAATAACAACTTTGCATTCATGAGTGGCACCGTTTAATTAGTTTCAATGCCTATCATGCCGCAAGTTTTATAAACATTATAATCTAAGACAAATGCAAACACGCTCTTCACTTAAGTAGTTGATGATAGCTATTGCGTCATCTTTCACTCCTTGCCTGTCGCTTTCATCACGATGCTGGAGGTAACTAAGCAGAGGATTCGTGCGCGGTGAACATTTCGTGATGAAGATTGCGGGATGCAGTTTCAAGATTGCTGATCATTTCCGCCAATGACAGTGTTTAGGAGGGATTATTTACGTTGTTGATTTAATGAGGCTCTATTGAAGGCGCCGCAGCACATGCATCTGTACATGACGCACACCTTGGCCGTGTGAATAAATTTATGATTAACAATGTAACATTCAAGACACGATTCATTCCCAACTATGACATGACCTTATTCATTCTGTCGCTCTTAGCTTTGATTTGTCTGGTTTTCTTGCGCTTTTAGCATTTAATAGAATCGCATTCACAAGCATAACAAACATATTTTTACGGCATGTCGAAAATCTAAATGCAATTCCTGTAACACATTTAGATTGTTATTGTTGAACTATTCTCTCGCGGAAAAAATAGGATCGCCTTTAGCAGATCACGCGGCGTAACGTGGGAGTCTAAAGGACGTATCCAGGATTCAACGCCAGCCTGGGGAGATGAAGGCACTGTATGGAATACGGGGGCAGATAGCGCCGGTGTCGCGCCGTCCCTCGCTTGTCCAATGTCGCGAATTGTTCAATGCCGCCTATAATGCAGAGGCTGAGAAAGGGAGAGGTGATGGCATAAATATTCCTTCCGACTTTTTTTGGGAGTCATGGAGGGCAAGCAATGGAAAGGAGTTCTTCAAGTGTTTCCGCAATAAACGTTCCTTAATGTTGATTCCTTCCGCCAACGATGAGACTCGATCGCCAGATATCGTAAAATGAAGAAGGCCGACACAGGAAACAACCGTCAACAGACGGAACAAATAAACTGAAGGACAAAACCTACTGAGGAGTAGAACGCATGGCTAAGTCAAAGGGAATGTTTTTTAAATTTTAATAAAGTAAATGATTTATTGCACGCAATTTTATACAATAAATTCGACATGAAACTTGAATTCATGGGCAGCCATTGGCACAAAAAACGGGAATTATTAAAAGGGTTTATGGAATTACTCTTGCAAATAATCACGACACCCACACACAAGAAATAGAATAATTTTTTGTTCAATACAACAGCATCAACATCAACAGTTCAATACAACCAGGTACTCATTATAAATTATCATTGATCAGATAAATAATAAAAGTAAATCTGACAAGATCCCGTCTCCATGAAGTGCTTTCGTGAGCAACGGCAATCCTTTTGCGACCAGCAACATAATACGAGGCAGGTATGTCGTCTCCGGAACATTTTTTTATTTTGCTTTTGAGAGCGCTACTGCGGACAATGAAAAGCTCGGTACTAGTTCCTGTATCAAATTTTTTGCCCATGTTACAGGTGACCCACTGCTGCTTGCACGTCGTTCAACGGCAACGTTGATCGGTGGTATTGAAATCTTCTTTTAGGACGTGCAAGGTTTTTTAGGCCATTGGACATTTTTACGGTATTGACATAGGGATCCAGAGGGCTTTTGTCGAGGCCGAAGAAGGTTCCCACACTTCATACCGGAGGTGAAAAGAGCAAAGGCACCAATGACCAGGCGTCACTTGGAATGTCTGTGATGGGGTGCGCGCAAATGGATCGAAACGATTTGATAAAAAATTGGCAACACATTGCGGAGAGAAGAAAGATCACAGATGGAACAGGCGTAAAAACTAGCTTGAATTGCACGCTGCAACCATGCAGCTAATCATACCAAAACATTGAAGACATTAGAGTAAGAGAAAAGTTAAACAGTGACTTTATTGATCAAAATACGATGGTGTTCAAACCCATCATTTTCATCATTAACATTACAAATAACAGCAATATTATTTGGCTGACAAGAATGCAGCTGTGTTGCGAATCTCACGTCAGATCTTTTGTATAATGGATAGTAAGAAAAGTACATACGACACAAAAATGTTTCATTATATCCTTAAAGTTCGATTTTGTTACTAAGCGACAAGTACATAATTAACGAAATACCATCCTGAAAAAATGAAGAGCTCTACAATCATTAAACCCACTATGCCCAATTCGTATCGATGTTTCTGAAGGTAGTATTTCCTCGTTGCTCTAATGGTTCTTAGAAGCAGAGAGTTGGCTGACGTTAATGTTTATGAAAACCGAAGAAAGAAAAGCCAAAAATTGGCCGCACTAAAATTTTGCTAAGTCACTCCGCCACGTACGGCCACTAGAGCGAGTTCGCAAGGAGGACATTCGACTTGGGATAAATTTGAGCTCATTTCAGCATCTGAAATTGTTCAGTCAGTAATTTTCTGTGATTTGAAGGATCAAAGAGTAAATGATTCTTTGACAATGAGAAATATTTTTAAGACCATGCACGTGACACA